CAGGTGGGATCGCCACCCCAGGGGTGACACGGTTAGGCAGCTCTCAGGCAGGCTGGGTCGCCCCCCCGAGGGTGAACGGGGCGGGCCCCCTCCACCGCCGCCGATGTCTTTGCCATGGGGCGACAAGAGGGACCTGTTCCACAGGACAGCGGGCCGCCATCCTGGCGGTTTCTGGGAGAAGCCGGTCCACAGTAGGGGACCTTTCCGCGCGAGGGGTGACAAGGTGGCTTGGCTCCAGCGCAGATTCATCGCCACTCTAGGGGTGGCGGTTGGTTGGCTCCCCGGCGGGAGTGATCGCTAGCTCACGGTTGACCGACGGATTTGCTCCACGGCAGCGCGGAGCATCGACGCTGTAGGAGCGACGGTCAGGTGGCTCCCCAGCGGGACTGATCGCCGGCCTGCAGGTGACGGAGGGAAGTCTCCTCCACAGCAGGACAGAGCGCCACTTCTGGGGCAACAGGTTGGTGCGTGCTCATTCGTAAAGCGATGACCGTCTGTCGGCCGCGGGTCGAAATACACGTCGTCCCAACGAGTTGCACCCAGAGCGTTTTGGCCGCCCGCGCTCGCAAGCACATGCCAGCGCAGAGTTTTATCTGACTGTACCCCCCAGTTGCGGATGCACCGCCTGGCAGGCGGCTGAACCCCAGCGTTTCGGTTCTAGCTTTTGCTGCGCTCAGGGCATACTGGCAATCTACACGGTCGCCGCCTCCATGCGGTCGCCGCTGTTCCGGCCAGGTTGACGCCACCGCAGCCAAAGTTTGCCTGCCCGACGCGGCCTCCAGACGGCCGCGCTCCTCGTGGTGATGCGCGTAATGGGCGGAGGCGCACTTGGACGGGGTGAGAAAGCGGTGGGGGCGGGACGGACGGCGGGCTCGGTAAGATCCGCCATGACAGGAGGAGGAGGAGGAGGAGGAGGAGGAGGAGGAAGAGGAATTAAGAGGAGGAGGAGGAGGAGGAAGAGGAGGAAGAAGAAGAAGAAAAAGAAGAAGAAGAGGAGGAGGAGGAGGAGGACCCTCCTCACGCCCCTCGCCGCCCTCCCTCCCCCGATGCATCCTGCCTGCGTGGGCGGCAGGGCGCGCCTCGCGCGAACGTGGCCCAGCCGCCCTCCGTGCTGCCTCGCGCTCGCCCCCCGCAGGCGGCTCGCCCCCCGCGCACCCCTCTCCTCACCCTGCGCTCTCCCTGCGCTTCGCGGGGATTGATACCTAACCGCCGCCTGGAGGATCAACTTCCCCGGACCTCCACGGGCGGTGGATATGGAAATGTGTTGGCCCCCAGGGGGCGAAGTATGTCCACATCCGCCGCCCGCTGGGTCCCCAGGGCGCCGGTTCCCAGGCGGTGGATGTGGATGAATCCCCGTCTCGCATTGTTTCTTCCTCCTGCGCGGCGGTTTGGGCTCCGACTCCGGTTTCGACGGCGGCTTGCGACGGCGAGCGCCGGCGACGGAAACGACGACGTCGCATGTTCCAGCGGCCTCTTGTGACGATCCGGGAACCCCAGGTGCGCAGCTGCTGGGAGACACCCAGGGTTTGGAAGACCGCCGAGAAGCGACGAGAACGGCCGAAAAATTCGAGCCCCGACGACGACGACGGAGACGACGGCGGCGGCGGCGACGACCTCTTCGACGACGGCGGCGGCCGCGGCCAGGTGGCGGCCGCGGCCGTTTTTGCCAAGGGCCGCCCAGGCCGCCCACGCCGCAGGGCTGCGCGGCGTTGGCGGCCATGGCAGACCCCGGCGCCAGTGCGCTCGCGTCCTGCAGAGCGCGGCTGGACGCGCTAGAGGACGCCCTGGCGGCGCTCGGCGAGGGGGCGCTGGCGATCGGGAGAAGAAACACGCCGGAGGTCCTCCTCCTCCTCCTCCTCCTCCTCCTCCTCCTCCTCCTCCTCCTCTTCCTCCTCCTCCTCCGCCTTCTCCTCCAGCCATTTCGGCGCGAGTCTCTTTCCGAGCTCGCGCTTGTGTCCAACGGCTTCGAAGTGGCACCGTGGACACGGGCCATTCTTTTCACGAACGCGGCTTCTCAGCCGCCTCCTCCACCACACCAGACGGGTGCATGTCGCGCAGGTCTCGGCGTAGTGCGGCCACTCAGAGATGGTGCTGCAAGTTCTGCAAGGCGAAGTCTACGGGGAAGCCATGGCACAATCGCCCTGATGTTGTGTCTTGCAACCTGTGCTGCCTCGCCGAGGGCAGGTGCTTCCTGCAGCTCTTGGAGTCTCGGCCCTCGGCCCCCATCCAGTACTTCTACCAAGGCCAAGGGCAAAGGACAGGGCGCAGGCCCCGACACTGCCGCGAAGGACAAGGAGATCGCCTCCCTGCAGAAGCGTCTCCAGAGCCTCGAGGCCAAGCTTGCGCAGGCAGCTGAGCAGGACGCCCAGTCCGAGCCCGAGCCTGACAAGCGGACCGTCGAGCTCAGGGCTGTGGACGCCGTGCTGGCCACGATGGTCGCCAGCGCCAAGTCAATGGGTATCGAGCCTACCTCACTCCAGGGCTACGACACGTACGCCGAGAGGGCGAGGGCGCTGCGGGCCGAGCTCCAGGCGGCCAAGCCCATCGCGTCCCAGGCGCACGGCTTCGTCAATGGGATTCAGACTGTGGACAAGGCCATCAAGAAGCTCGAGGCCTCCGTCGAGGCCGAGGAGCTCATCATCAAGGAGAAGCAGGAGCTCGTGCTGGGCTTGCGCAAGCAGATCGATGCGAAGCGCAAGGACAAGCAGGAGCTCGAGCGTGAGCATTTGGAGTTGCTGCAGAGCAAGGTGCCTGCCGAGCCGGCCGAAGCTGCCGATGCGGTGCTCGACGGTTACGCGGCGAACCTGGGGCAGCTCCAGAAGGTTATCAGGCACCTGGGCGCGGGAGGAGTTGTCCGAGCTCTGCCTGCAGCAGGTCACCCCCTTCGTCGAGCGCGTGCGGAAGGCCAAGCAGGAGCGCGACGCCAGGGCGGCGGAGGCTAGTGCTTCCGCTCAAGTACCTCCACCTGCTGCTCAGGAGCGCCCCCCTCCTGCTGCTGGTGCTCCTGAAGATGCTCCTGATGTCAGCATGGGCGACGTTGACCTTGAGGAGCTGCGGGAGCTCATGCGGTCTAGCCTGGGCAAGGACGAGCAGCAGTCGGACGAGGCAGAGGTGCGGGCCAAGGTCAAGCGCCTCCAATCACAACTGCAGATGCTCGGCAAGAAGCGCAGGACTGGCGATGCGTCCTAAGGGTCACCTGTTCTTCCTGACGCTCTGCTTCCTCTGCGTCTACCAGACGGGCGCGGCTGATGCTGGAGAGCCCCGCTTGGGCTCGGGTGCTATGCCCGCGGCGTCGGCTGCCCATGCGCCCTTGCTGGGAGACCCGTCGGCCCCCGAAGTCCATGCCTTGTCGGGGCCGCCGTCTCGGAAACGAGGGGCGGCGGGCAAGGGCGAGGGCGTGTCAGCCAAGCGCGGTGGCCCCCTCGTACCCCCCGCTGCACCTGACGCCCTTGATGCGGAGGCCTCATCGACGACTTGGACGACGGGGGAGGCGGCCCCTAGCCTCCAAGCCGCCGCGCCTCTACTGGCGCGCGGCGACGCTGATCCCGATCGCCCTGGCGACGCCGAGCTACGCGAGGGTAAGGTGCGTGAAGGCTCACCAAATCTCACGGACATTCAATTTAGTTCTTCTGGCCCAAAGCCGACTGGCCCTGCGCTACCAGGTGAGCACGACCCGCTCGACGACCTCGACCTAGAGGAGCACGTCGTTCCCAGGGGGCAGGTCGACTTTATGTCTGATGTTCGCAGTGCTGGTCCTGGTGCCGCAGTTGCGCCGAGTTCCTCCTTGGCCACGGGTGCGACGGCTTCGGCCACTCCTGGTTTATCGGCATCGGCGGCTGGCCCTACATCGATGTCTTCCACTGCTACAGGGGGGGTGGCCCCATGTCCTGCTGGTACCTTGTCTTCTGCGAGTGGGGCGGAGCCCTCTGCTGGGTCAGCAGGCTGGGGTGCCCTGGCGCCTGCCCCCCGGCGCGGCACTACTTCGACGAGCCCACCAGGCCAGGCCATCAAGGGGTCCATTGCCACGGCCAACGTCACCTCTCACGGATGCCTCTTCGATTACCTGCCCATGGCCACGGCCAAGGTCCTCATCGTGCAGGAGCACCACCTCGCTGAGGATCGGTTGCAGCAGGCGCGAGGCAGGGCTCGGGATCTTGGTTAGCATGGCCATTGGGCCCCCCGCGATCGGCAGTGACAAATCCCAGAGTGGTACAGTCGGCGGGGTCGCCATCTTGGTCCGCACCGACATCATGACCTCCAAGCCCGAGCTTGACGAGGCGGTGGTCGTCCCAGGTCGCCTCTTGTTTGCTCATGTTCATTGGGGTGTGCGCGGGGGCTTTGTCGCTGGCAGCCTCTACCTGGACTAGGATGCGATGGGCCCGTGTAATACTGTCCACATCTGGAACATGGTTCGGGCTCTATGTATTCTAAATGCGCGGGGTCACGACTGGCTGGTTGGAGGTGATTGGAACAATGGCCCCTCGGTGGCCTCGGCCTATCCCTGGGTTTAGTCGGTCGGGGCCACGGCTTACATTCCTGCGCTGCCTACTTGCAGACAGACGACTCTGGGCACGACCTTGGACTACGTTATCTCGTCTTGCAACTTGGCGGCCAGGATAGCACACGACGTGCGGGTCATTGAAGGGGCCGACCTTTCCCCGCACTCGCCAGTCGAGATCCGCATGCAGGCCCAATACGTCCCTCTATGGCGTCTTGTACCCGACCTACCGCGCCCCCCCCCCCCCCCCCCCCCACGCAAGGTACCTCCTGGCTGCGCGAGGTACCCGGTGGATTGGGACTCCGACGTCATCAGCGCTGCCCAGGACTCTGAGGACTTGGCCCACGCCTGGGACTACGTGGCCGACGGTATCGAAGCGGAGCTCACCCATCGATTTGACCTGTTGGGGCCCAAGGCATAGGCGCGCCAGGGGCGCTCGGGCCCTCCTGCCTTCGTTTGGCGAAAGGTAGCCTGGAAGCACCCATGCAAGCGGGTATCCAAGCGGCCCATCACCATGGCGTGGCGCACGGCGGCCAAGTGGATGGCCCATATCGGACGTGAACGAGGGCGGCTACGCGAGCTGGTCGCGAGGTCGCAGCTCGCCCATACGTGCACCCCCTTTACACCTTCGCAGTGCACGATCATCCTGGCCGCGCTGCGCGACGTAGAGCTCGTTTTGGCGAACGTGCTCCGCAGCAAGGTGGTGATTTCCCTTTTACCGATGCAGCTCGTTTCCTTCCTTGAGTTGGGCATCGACACGCTGGCGCCCCAGACATTCGGCGGCTTGCAGGATGCTGCCCAGAAGGAGGCGGACCGACTTTCCAAGGCGGATATTTCGGCGGCTTCCAGGGCATGGGCGCCTTGGGCCAGAGGTGCGTTTGCGAGGGGGGCGTCGGTCGCGCACAAGGCCTCCAAGGTTCCTGTGCCCGACGAGATCTTACCATGGATCCGCCTACGCGACGGTATGCAGCCCTACGCTCTCATCAACAACGATTTGAGGGAGTGGGCCGAGATCTGGGATCATCATGGTTGTGTGCCAGTGTCGCTCCCTCCTGACTCTGATCAATGGCCTCGGCTTCCTCGCATTGGAGCTCGGGGGGTCCGCGACGTCATCCTGTCCTATTCCGAGCGCACTGTTGATGGCCCCACGGCCCTACATCCTCGGCTTCTCGGACACCTCTCCGACAGGGCCCTAGCGAAGTTGGCCGAGCTTTTTTTTCAGCGCTGCGAGGATCTCCCCACCTGGCCCCAGGACCGCCTGTGGGCTATGATGTGCCGCATCCCGAAGCCCGACTCAGGGCATCGACTCATTGCCGTCCTCGACTCGTTCCTCCGAATTTTGGGCAGGTTGCGAAGGCCCATCATTCGTGCATGGTCGGCTGCTCACAGATGTGAGGAGTCTTGGGGTACGCGGCCGAGGTGCACATCCAGCGACGGCGCTTTCGAGAACAACCTGCAGGCGGAGACCGGGGTACTCAAGGGCTTCTTTGTCGCGAGCGCCCTGCTGGACCTCACGAAGGCCTACGACATGGCGCGGCCCTCCCAGCTTTTCAAGGAGGGGCCCTTCTGGGGCTACCCGCCACGTATGATGTGGATGCTGATCCAGCAGTACTGCATGCCCAGGAGGCTCAAGGGCCACGGGTCGATCTCCGAGCAGGTTGTCACGCACCAGGGGCTGTTCGCAGGCTGCACTGCGGCTGGCGGCATGTTGGAGCTCCTTACTCCTACGCGTCATATTGCGGATCAAGCAGGCGCCTGTTCCGCTGCAGCCCCGCATGTTGGTTGACGATGTCTCCATCCAGTACGTGGGCCCCGGCAAGGCGGGCATCGCCAGGCTGGCGAAGGCGGTGGAGCTATTCCAGCAGGACTCGCGCGACCTCAGCTCCAGGTTCAATTTCAAGAAGTCGGGGCTCGTGCTGACTACGCGTGCATCCCGAGCCGAGGCTGTTCGGCTACGGGGCCGCATACCTGTGCGCTCGTGGATGCGCAACCTGGGGCACGAGACCATGGGAGTGCGCCCCTCGAGGCAGCAGGAGCGCATGAGGGCCAACCAGATGCTCAAGCGCAAGCGCCGCCTGCTCATGTTCAAGGGTGTGGCGGGGCGCACGTCTTCTATACTATGGCGATCGGGAGCGCAGCCATCCGTTGGGCATGGCGCAGGCGTTGCTGGTGTATCCGGCGAGGTGCTGAAGCAGATGCGATCCGTCGCAGCGCTGGTGGCTGGCGCCCCTGCTCGTGCTTCCAACGCTCCATTTTTGCACTGCCAGTGGCAGCTGCGTTACGACCCGATTTTTGACGCGACGACGTCGATTTTGTCTAGGGTGCACTGCTTCATTTGGGATGGCCGAGTACCCCTCAGCGACGTGAGATATGCCTGGGCTGAATTGGTTCCTCGTGCACAGGCGGGATTTACCTGGGCAGGGGTGCGGGGGCCGCTCGCTGCTGCCTTCCTCACCTTACGTCGCATTGGATGGGATGTTGCGGCCCCCCACCTTTGGCGGGATGATTGTGGCAAGTATCACGATATTTTGCAGGTGGCGCCCGCCGACATGAAGACCTTCTTGGAGGCGGCATCAAGAGATGGCAGATGCAGAAGTTGCTGGGCGCGCTCCCCCAGGTCGAGGAGACCTCCTTCAAAATTTGGGAGCGGGCCCTCAGGAGCGGCCTCAGCGAGCTCCCGAACACGCAGATGGGTGCGCTGAGGGCGTTGTGGGCTGACCGCTTCCCGACGGCGCCGCGGCTCGCGGCGTGGGGGCGCCAGATCGAGCCAGCCTGTGCTGCGCGCGGCTCGCCAGACGGCTCGTATGGCCACGACTGGTGCGACTGCCCCAGCCTCGATGAGAGAGAACAAGAGTTGGGATTGGAGGTTGTGCATGAGAGGTTTCTTTCTCATCGGCAGGCGTTGCGCGCTTGAGCACGCCCTCCAGGGTGCCCCGAATTCAACATTATGTATTTGTCTTATGCCCTCCCCGTGCTTTCTGTGAGCACTCCGCGGGCACCAGAGATCCCTGAGGTTTGGGAGTGGGGGGGCGTGGGAGGGGCGTGGGGGCCCGTCGTCTGCGGGGACGGCGGTGCTCAGGGATCTGCGGTGCCAGAGGTGCGTGGAGCGGGCTGGGCGATTGTGCAGTTTGGCGCGGACCTCCTCCCTGTGCGAGCTCTGTTCGGGAATGTTGTGGGCCCTATTCAAACGGTTGGCCTTGCCGAGCGCACGGCGGCCCTTCAGGCGGTCCGCGTCAACCCCGATCTCAAGGTTTGGTTTTTGTTTCGGACCCTCTCTCCCTCGTCAGAGAGGGCCAGAGCTGGGACCCAGAATTAGCCTGTGGCATGCAGAAGTACGCCGGTGTCTGGAGGCCCATCCTCGCTCATAGCGAACGGCGCACTGACGTCGAGCCCCCCTCCTTTGTGTGGACACCCGCCCACCTCTCCATTGAGCAGGCCTATGAGAGGGGATGTGACCTTGTTGCGTGGGTAGGACATGCTTGGGGCGATTTGTTCGCCAAAGAGGCTTCCAGGCGCGCGATGGTTTCCCGGGGTTTCTGCAAGGCCGTCGAGGCCGAGTTGCAGTTCCATAAAACCACAATCCAGTATGTCTCGCGGGCTGCACTTAGGCTGGCTAAGCTCAGGAGGTGGACAGACATCCCTCCCCCTCCACCTTGCCCCAAACCTGCGCCCGTGATCCAGCTCACAATCCATGGGCACGCATTCGTGATGAACGCTAGTTCAAGCGAGGTTCGATGTAGGTATTGCTTCGTCGGTGCTCGTTCCCCTAGCACGCTGACCCACTTCTGCAATGGTGAACAGAGAGTGTGTAAGCGATCCTCCATATCGGCCTGGAAGGCTGAGGAATGGCTCCGCTCCTTGGGGCCACACGCCCAGGCCCTTCAGGCCCAGGCGGTCGGGACTGCCCTAGCTGCTGCTGATGCCGCTCGCCCCTCCCCGCCCGCTTCCTCTGAGCCTCCTGCTGTGGCTGCTGCTGGCCCTCCTGCTGCCTCGCCTACTCCTCCTCAGGGATCGGGGGCGGCTGCGCTTCAGGAGTTCAACGATCTAGGCCACGTCATGGCGCAGGTCGGGCGGGTTTGCATTTGTACTGCGTGCGCTGGCTTCCTTATTCTGCCCCGTGGGGCCCCGAGGTCCCTCCTGAGCCCCTGCTCTGGGGCATCTCGCGTTCCGTCCACTCGGGGTAAGCAGAACAAGGAAGCTGCAGAGGGCCCGCGCGGGCCTGCGCCCATCTCCAGGGTGTTCCCTGGATGATTGATCCCTCGGACTGCGTGGCAGGCGTGCTCGTTCCTTTCTGGCCGCCCTGCCCCGCGCTGTCCTGACGTTTTCTCCTTGCAGTCTAGCCTGTCGTCGCTAGTGCCAGCTGATGACGTTCTTGGTCGGCGCCCACCACCTCCTCCTCCTCCTCCTCCTCCTCCTCCTCCTCCTATCCTCCGCCTCCTCCTCCTCCTCCTCCTCCTCCTCCTCCTCCTCCTCCTCCTCTCCCTCCACTTCTTCATCCTGTCCCTCCTCGTCCGCCTCCTCCTCCTCCTCCTCCCTTCCCTCATGTTCCTCCTTCTCCTTCTCCTCCTCTCCCTCCTCGTCCTCCTCCGCCTCTTCCCCCTCCTTCTCCTTCCCCCCCATAGCTGTTCTGGCTCATGTCCTTTTCCAGGTGTCCCTGTGCTTGCTAGCACTTGCACTTCAGGGCAGCTGGGCGTCAGCGGGCCAAGTTGGTTCGCCTCTCGGCCAGAGCGATTCTCAGCCAGATGCAATGCCATGCACGCCCCCCTGGGTTGCTCATGGTTGCCTCCCGCGCGGCCGCGGCGGCCGCTGGCAGAGGTTGGCCTAGATGGCCAAAGGCTCCAGCGGGAGGGGGCGGCGGCAACCCCCCTGCTGCTTGTAATTGGGCGCGCCTCAGTCCCCAGTGTCGATGCGCGAAGAACAAGCCGCACTTCTGGTTCTACAAGCATTGTCACACTGTCCGCGGTGAAGCTGTTCCTCCCCCTCGTGCTGCTGGTGATGCGCCTGGTCCTCTCCAGCCTCTGCCTCATGGTCCCCTGGGCCATGGTGGTGCTGGAGGCGCGCATTCTGAGCTGGAGCAGATGGCGTCCTTGGCGATCAAGTTGGGAGACTCCGCTCTGGCCAAGCAGTACCAGGATCGGTTGGACGCAGCCAAGAAAACCATGGTACGTGTCCAACCTGTCCAGCAGCAGATCAACCAAGCCTACCGTCAGGTGCAGACCTTGGAGAACAAGCTCAATCGTGAACTGGACCTGCTGGACAAATGGGAACAACGCATCGTCGACAAGAAGGAAGAATGGCGCAAGCTCCGAGCATAGCTCACGGCACAAGATGAACTACACAATAAGCTCGTCGCCCAGCTGCACGCCGAGACGCACGGGGCCCCATCCTCAGAGAGGGATTCGGTTCCTGTGCTTCAGTTGCGTGACATTGTGGACGGCGGCGGCTTCATGGTTGCCGTCTCGGGCCCCCTGGGAGACTCTGGCGATTTTTGAGATTTCCGAGACAGACCGCGAGGCCTTCGACAAGCGAGCTGCAGAGCTGCAGTCGGGCCTTCAGCCGATGGTCACTTCTCTTTTCGGGGACCGCATCGAGCACACTGACAGCATCAAGACAGCCCACGCAGACCACCTCAAGCGGCTCCACAAGAAGAGGAACGGCAACGACGGAGAAGCTGGAGTTCCTGCTGATGGTGGCCCGCGTGAGCCTGCACCATCCCCCGCCGCGGGTGGAGCTGGAGGCCCACCTGCAGCTGGCGGGGGGGCATCCTCTTCTGCGCAGGACCCGAGCTGGGACATATCGCAGCCCGCAGCGCCACCAAGCAAGGTCGACGTGCGTGAGCGCGCCCGCTGCCTGGACCCGGAAAGGGCCACCCCCCTGTTGGCGAGTCACGCCAGGAATGAGCGCGATCAGGGGGGGAGATGCTTCGTTTCACGCAGGCCCCCTGGGCCCAGTTTGGGTAGCAAGTTTTCTGCCGCCCCAACCGAGCCCGATTTTTCCAGTTTTGCGTTGTCCGCACATACTGTAAATTGTGCAGCCTGGTGATCTATCAAGTCCTGGCTTGGGTCTACTGCGTCGCATGTGGTCCTTGTACAAGAAGACAGGCTAAAGGGCAGTGAATCCATCGGAGAAGTTTCCAAATAGGCCTCGTCTAACGGTTGGCATGGGCTGTTCGCCCCCGCTCCCCCAGCTCCTGGGGATGGCGCTTCAGGGGGCGTCGCCAGTCTGGCTAGACAGTTTCTGGGTTTGCATGCTCCCACGGGGGGCTCAATTTTGGCCCCTGGCGGGGCCATCCAAGGTTGCGTGCAAATTCCAGGAGGTCACATCTTGCAGCTGCTCAGTCTCTATCCTCATGATTATGATGGGCTTTCCGCTTGTAACATTCAAGTGCTTTGCAGACGCGGGCAGCGCGCTCGACATTTCTGGCCTGCCCTTCTTGGTGGGCGCCAATTTCAACATGCTGCCTGACACGATCAAGTCCAGCATGTTTGCGTCAAAGTTGTCTTCCAACATCGTATTTCCCCATGTCCCTGGAACGTGTTTGGGATCTGGGGAACAGCTTAAAATGCGCGACTACTTCGCAGTCTCCTCGGGGTTCACCAAGGTTATCTCGAAGATCGCGGTCGATCACGGGTCGGATAATAAGACGCATTACCTTACGACTATTGAGTTTCACATTGATGTGGCCTCGTTGCACGCTCTCTCGTTCGCGAAGATCCCCAGGATTCAGGTTGAGGTTCCCATCGGGCCAGCAACCAAGCCCCCATCGGCAGAGGCGGTGCTGCATTGCGCCCGACATGGTCTCGAACTTGCACAGAAGCGCGCTAAGCGTTCGGGTGTCCAGCGCCACCTAGGCACTTCGTATCATTTTTGGGCTGATGCTGCCGAGGTGGAGCTTCTTATTTCAAGATTCGCGCAGTCTCGGGCCACGGGCCTCAGTGGCAGGCCGCCACAGCTCGCCTGGGTCAACGTGCTGGACTCAGATCGGCGCAGGCGCGAGGTCAGGCAGCCTGGTCTCGTAGGTTTCCTCTGGCTCTGCAAGGCCGTTGGCAGTCTTCGTTCAGCGCTCGCTGCAGGTTCAGACCACCACACTTGCAGGCCGTACATCCAGGCGATTTGGGCCCCCCAGGCAAGGTCGAGGACAAGATTCAGGACTGCGTGGAGGAACTGCAGAAGATCCAGACCTTCTTGGGGTCCAGAGGGCTTCAGAATCTTCAGGGGAAGCA